GCTCGTCCCAGCGGACCTCTCTTTGAATGGTAACACCCAGGTACTTTACGGAGGAAACTTGCTCAAGAATATGGCCGTGCAGTTTGTATTGGTAGTGTAGAGGAGTACAACTTCTAGAGATTGATAGTGTCTGGCACTTGGCAGGATGAAATTCCATGTCCCAGCTCATCTCCCACTCAGCTAACAGATTGAGATCCTGTTGTAGCTGGTCCTGGTCAGATCTGTTGGCGATCGTCCTATACACTGCTGTGTCATCTGCAAACAGTCTTGCCTGTGATGTCAGTTTCTCCGGTAGGTCATTAATGTATGCTAGGAACAAACAGGGGCCCAGGACTGATCCCTGGGGGACCCCTGACTTCACATTGACAAAGGAGGAGCTTGTACCGCCCACCACTACTGCTTGGCGTCGGTGGCTGAGGAAGCTAGAGATCCATGTTTTAGTGGTGCCTTGAATCCCATATATCTGGAGTTTGTGTAGAAGCAAACTATGATTCACCCGGTCAAATGCTTTTGCGAAGTCCATTACTAGCACGTCAGTCTGCTTGTGGTTCTCCAGATTGGTCATCAAGTCTTCTACAAATTCGAGAAGCTGGGTCTCACATGACCTATTGACTCGGAAGCCATGTTGACAGTCATTGAGTATATTTTGGCTTTCAAGATGCTTCATGACAGAGCTTACGATTATGTGCTCCAACAGTTTGCAGACGACGCTAGTGAGGGATATCGGACGATAGTTGGCAGGGTCGGAATGCTCCCCTTTCTTGTAAATTGGAGTGACATGCGCTGTTCTCCAGTCTGCTGGAACATTTCCTGTGCATAGTGACGATTGGAAGAGGATTGTCAGTGCAGGAGCGATTTCTTTGGCTAATTCTTTGAGCACTCGTGGTTTAATGTTGTCAGGACCACATGCTTTGTAAGGGTTAATGGTATTGAGGAGGGCAAACACACCTTGTTCTGATATCTGGATATCTCCCATGATAGGATAGGCTCTGTTCATCATTTTGGTCTTCAGAAGGAACTCAGTCTCAGAGTACTCTCTACCGTCACCAAAGACCGACTGGAACTGCTGATTGAGTATCTCCGCCTGTGCTTTTGGGTCAGATGTCAATTGGCCATCCCACCTCAAGGGGGAAACTCCAGCGTTTGAGGACTTTACATATTATTACATATTATAAAATTTACATATTATGGTTAATATTTTCATTTAAACATTATGGATACCATTTTCATTTAAACATTAAGAATACCATTTTCATTTACACAAAATGATTAACATTTTCATATATATATATTATGAGTAACATTTTCATATAGACATTATGAGTGAACAATTACCTCTCGACACAATAATCACCCAGGTCGTCTGACAGCCATTATGACAGCACCATTATTTTTCCATAATTCTGAGGCCTGGTCAAAGATTAGATACAAATTTAACTTAAAATAGGACAAACCAATTGTAAACTGATTTTTTTTTCCAAACATTAAATTTCTTTATATCTGAATATATGCACAAACTACATTGTTCATGAGCAATCATTAAATTCTGGGGTTCAAATCAAAATAGATTTTTCTAAGTATCCACTCTCTCAAAGGTGTGGTTGCTGATTTTGATGCTGTCACCAGTATGCATGTTTTGTTACGAGAAAAAAAAAAATCCTCTCAAAGAGAACAAAGAAGACAATTTACTCTATTATAAGAAGACCAGTTGTTAAAATTCATGCAAGTGAATTATCTTTACCAGAAAAGAAGAGAATTTGCTCAAAACATAGGAGAGGAAAATATACAGTCTGGTGATAGACAAAAATGGATGGAGAATCATTACAAACCAAGAGATATAGCAATTGTACAAAGACCCACCCATAATTGCAACAATTAAAAAAGGCTGACTGTGCTGGACAGGGCACCTTGAGAGGATGCCGGATTGTAGAGCAGCAAAAGTGATGTACAGGCAGAAACCTAGGGGCAGATTAGCCCATCGGTCGACCAACACCGAGATGGACGGATGATGTAGCGAAGAACTTACACCAGCTGAGGGTTCACGCATGGAACCTGAAAGTCATGGGTAGAATGCAATGGAAGGATGTGGTGGAGCAGGGCAGGGCCCTACATGGGCTGTAGAACCCCTGATGATAATGATGAAATAGACGAAGTTGCCATTGATTGATTCAACTGATAAACAAAAAAGATCATGATATATAGGTCACTACATAATTCAATATCAAATGGTAATCCAATCCCTCAATGGCAAAGTTTTGCTTTGGTTAACATTCCAGCAAGAAAAATGTTTTATTTCTTTATGGAGGTTTAATCATTTTATTTTGTTAAAAATATATTTACTAAAAACTCTTTAGGATCCCTTCCAAATGTGCTGAGTTTTGTACTGGCCAGGTATTCTAGAGTTGCTTTCTCTGGAGACTTGACAAAAGGATTAGTTGGCAAATTGCATAGGAATCCAATGCTGGCAACAGCTACAGCACCAAAAAGGCCAAGCTTGGTTAGAGTGTTCATTGTCTCTATAGCCCTGCAAACCAGGAGGAAAAGAAAAAATATCCATGAATGTAACATGAATAAAAATGAAAAGCTTATTGTGTTACAAATAATCCTTTTTAGAAAAAAAAATTATTTTGGCCAGGTAATATTTTATCTTATTAATATATTTAAAAACTTTAAAATGCTAAAAACAAAATTAAAGTAAATAATTTATAATAATAGTTTTGCTTTTAATAACAGAAGTATTTGTAAAACATAAGCTTGAAAGCACCTGCACTATACTCTCTAATAATTTCCTTTCATATACCTGTATCCATGCTAGTAGTAGTAGTTTATTAATTTGATAATAATTGCTCTTGTTATACAAATTCTTACATTAAATTATTTTTTATATATTTTGTTATTTATATATATATATTCATAAGGGGAAGACAGTTCTTTTACTTATATGCTTCAATACCATAGTGAGATTGAGAAATAAAGATAGGATAGACAGTTCTTAGATCCTTTTGTACCGAAGTGAGACTGATCTAATATAAGACAGAATGTTTGGAGAAAAATAACAACTTTAAAAAATATGTAAAGTTACACAAGACTCTCAGAATTGGTAAGAATGGTATATCTTCAATTTTCTAATTCTTACATTTTTAGGGGCTCATTGCATAGGCTCCAAAGGATTCTGGGTCTAGAGCATACTACACAAGTACTTTAGCCTGCGCAAGTTCCTTCATCAAAAGGATCATCATTGCATTTTTAAAATATTGACACTGATACAAAAAAAATACTTACTGGATAATTTCAAGCATAGTCGTTTATGGTTAGTGCTCCTTTGTATTATCTCATCTGTTTGAGTTTTCAACAACAACAAAAAATTAGCAGCAAGAAAATCTATACATTTTAATAAATTTTATGCAAGCACAAGACAAATCTTCTTCTAATATAATTCATCTGCAAAATACAGTGCAAGAGAAATTATATGCTATAAAAAAATTTTAGGCTGAATAAAATTTAAAAAACTGCATGGTAAATGAGTTTTATTCAGAAGGTATAGCAATAAAGTTAAGAAAGAATTGGGAACTGATGGCTCTCTCTACAAGATTCAAGACTTGAATGCAAACATTTCGATAAATAAACTGAGTCATTATTTGTGTGAATTTTAATTCCTATTTAATTTTATTCTTCTTCATTCTGTTTTTACAAGCACTTTTTTTAACATAGTATCAGCAATACAGAATTTATGCTTTGTAATGAGGGCAGAATTTTTGGCCAACAGTACAGATAGGGGGGGAGCAAAAAAATCTTGGCCCGCCTCGGGCACCACTAACCTTAACTGTGCCACTACCTACTACTACTAGAACTACTTTAGACTTATTTCTATTCATGGATGGTGTCATGGTCCGCGTGAACAATTTGGTGGTCCGCAGAAAAATCTGCATTATTTACATTTTACTAAAGTCATCCTGTGCAAAGAAGTTAACTATTTTCAAGCAGCAAAATAATACAATAATTTTAAGAACTCTTTTACGACAAAGAGTGGGTAGCCAAGCTTGCATATCTGGTGATATTTTTTTTAGCTGATAAATGAATTAAACATATCCTTGCAATGATAACTTAAGGATGAGTTCAAACTACTCTACAAGGTAAAAATATTACTGTGGCAAAAGCGGTTGGCTGAAGACTGAAGAAGATCTGAAAATGTTTTGAAATTTTAATTAATACATGAGAGAGAAGGATGTCAACGGACAGGTGAGAACCATTCTTCAACAGCACTTACAATCACTCACAGAATTTTTTGGTTGTTATTACCCAAAGAAAGAAGATCCCAGATATATTATTATGTGGATTGAAGATAGCAATTTAAGCATGAATTAATTAGAAAGCCTCATTGATCTATCATGAAATGACAGTCTCAAACTCAAAGCTTAATTCCAGTTGTCCTTATATTATCATCAAGACCTTATTTTTTTTTACTCTCCATAAAAAGTGAATACCCATACATAGCCATATGCATATCATATGATTATGCCCATGGGCCATTGCTAAGTGGGAAAAAGCAATGAAAATTTTGATTCAATTTTTAACATTTTTGAATATTTGTAATTTATTCATTTATGTAGGAAACGACATTCACTTTAAATTTAAACTTTTCTAAGTCTAAAGTCTAAAGTTTAGTCTAAAGCTATTGTCTTTAACTCAACTGTTATATTTAACATTTATTGTGTCCTCTGGCTCTGCATAAACAGCACTGGGTTTATTACTATGAGTGACTATGGTCATGGAAAGTATGAAAACAAAACTAAAGTCTAAAATAACATTCATTATGGGAGTTCAGTAGACTTTGCCCTGCCCTTTGCCTTGCATTATTTATAAAATACTAAAAAAACGAGGCATTGGGAGATGCAGAACTAGGGAATTAGTACTAACTTAGAAATTGTTCCCACTAATGTTTTGTAAATTAGCATAAGTTCGTATCACTACATTATTAAATGATAATAACTCTACTTCCACAATATTAAATCGAAGATGAGCGATTCTTTTGCTCGATGATTTCCCATTTAGATCTGTGTAATGTCATTAATGTGTACCTCTTCTGGTCTTCTGTTCCGCCTTCGTATTCGCCACTCGGATAACACTAAACTAAAAAGGTAAAGTAAAGGCAGAGGCTTTGAAAATTAAGAATTTTAAGTAAAATTTAAAAAAAAATACTTTTTCAGCTTTAATGTAATTGAAAAGTACTCAATCCTTTTTTTAATAGCCTTTTCCCACTAACATCCAGCCAGTAATTCACTTGCGAAGTCACGAGCCTAAAGCAAACGTCTCGATAGTAAGCGACGTTTTATTATTAACCTGTCTGTGTGGATAGTAGCGTCAGCTGTTCTGCTTTTCCGGTTTCGAAGCAACTTGGCAGAAATTTTCAGGACAAATTGAGCATCGCTGTTAACAGTTAACCTTCCACCAAGCAACACTATTACATAAAACGATGCTTAAACCAAGAGCTCTGGCCGAAGTTTTAAGTCAAGCAAATACTGGGGGTATAGGCAGTACCCTGTAAGTAAATTATGTAGTTTAATCCGACCTAGTTAGTAAATAAATGTCTCCTATGTCTATGTTCAGTTGATTCAATCATTCAATCATCAATGTTATGACTAAGAGACTATGTAATACTATGTTAGTTTGACTAGTATGAGTACTATGACTATCAATAATGCCTAACGATCTATGACATGACTATGAACATATATGATTGTATGCCTATGATGAGGGTATGAGTACTATTCAGTGATTCAGGGATTGCTGAGTAGCCTCAGTGCTCAGTAGGCGAGTATGTAAAACTGGTACTGGTAGGTAAGAAAGACTAAGAGTCACTTCACTAAGAGTACTAGTACTAAGACCAGAAAGGGTAAGACCATGCCATAGGCCGCTGAATAAGACAGAGGGTAATCTACCACTTGAGCGTCGGCCAAGAAAAAATCCAGCTGTTCCGGTTGGAAGGGTTATTTAAACAACTATTCTTATTTTATTTTTAATGACATTGGTTGTACGTATTCATTCCCATAATAATAGACAATTTTTTTTAAAATAGAAAAACTATAACAATTTTTTTGAAATAGAAGATAATGTGTGAAAATAAAATTATGCATAGATATCCCCCAAGTTGACAATGAAGTTCAAAAAAATATAATTTCCATGAAAACGGTTGTGGTACATGAATCCACGTAAATATGAAGGGGAAAGATCACCGGCGCTTCTTGTGCCAAACTGTCTTTTTAGTTTATGCTTTCTGAGCATTCACGTTTTCCACATTCTGTGTGTGGACATATGCGTCATCTGGATAAAAAAAAATAATTGTCTCTTTTTCTTCCTGGCATATCGGTACTTTGGCAGTAATAAGTATTTAAATGTATTAGTATTAATAATAATAATAAAGTTCATTTCAAAAACACGCTTCATCCCCAAAGGCTCGAAGCGTGGTACAAAGTCAACAGAAAACAAATTTATAATTTACCACATTTAAAACAAACGCAACGCTACAAAAACTAATTACAAGCATACAATGTCAAAGTCTTTCAACCCATTTCAACCGTGAGCAACACAGCTAATATGCATTAAATGGAAAATATGGTAGACAATCATCCCAGAAGGTGTTTGCGAAATAGATGTGTCTTTAAATCGGTTTTAAAGGAATCCAGTGTCTGGTTGTTTCTGAGATCGACAGGAAGCGCGTTCCAAATTGTTGGACCAGCAAATGCGAAAGTGCGCTTTCCGTAAGTCTCAAGGCAAACACGTGGTGACGAGAGTTTGCCACTATCGGATGAGCGGAGCTCTCTAGTGGGTACATAAGGCGTCAGCAGCTCTTTCAGATAGGACGGCGCCAGGTCATGTAAGCAGCGGTAGCACAAAGTTGCGATTTTGTACTCTATGCAAGCACGCACCGGCAGCCAGTGCAACTCTCTCAAAAGTGTTTTTGCATGGTCGAACTTGCGTTTGCGGAGAACAATGGGAGCCGCATTATTCTGTGCTATTTGAAATTTATCCAGGAGCGTAGCTGGAAGACCCACCATGAGAGCATTGCAATAGTCCATGTGCGATAGCACAAATGCAGACATCAGCCTCTTTGTTGCATCAATTGTTAGGAAGGGCCTGATGTGACTAATCCTGCGCAGCTCCAGAAAAATTGCCTTGCATAGCATGTTAATATGACTTTCAAAACTTAGTCTTCTATCTAGGTATACATCCAGGTACCGCACTGTTTGAGGAAGACAGTCTAACGTGTCTAATTGGTAAACACGGTTGTAAACAAGATACATCAAGCGAATAGGCCACGCCCAAAACAGACGTTTCTGTCTGCTAGGATTCTAATTTAGGTCAAGTAAAATTAAAGCACAGGGAATGTATGCTACATAACAATTAGTATTTAGCATTGCATGAGAAGTCGGCTAGGCTACGACTAGATTGACCCTATATTAAGATGTAGGGTGTATTTCTTTGTGAACTATCGGCCTCCCGCCTTAAAATTTATTATATTATTTATCACCCTTACTATTATTTTTTATCATTCTTATTTTTTATTACCGTAATTCTCTCTACCTCTCAGCTTTGCTTACTTCCAGAATGCATTATTGCTTAATATTATTTGTTTGCAAGATACTCAGTAAATTAGTTGGTAGAGAAATAGATTTTAAAATTAACAATATTTTTTTAATCATTCACAGTCACGTGACAAGGCTGACAGACAAATCTCTCGCGTCACTTTGTTTTGGTGGTCATGTGACTTGGTCACCGGATGAATATCTTGATAAAGTATTCTTCCGGCGGTCATGTGACTTTTCGCCGGACAAATAGTGCGGGAGATATACGTCCGCCGCGCTGTACTATTTTAAAAGGCTAGCTGTTACTATACATAAGTATAAGCAGTAAATTTTGGTGGCGGTAATCGGTGGTATGGGTTTTGCCTAGAGTTGTCTCATCCTAAGCACATTGTGGTCATTTTGGGGATCCAAACACTGGTCCCTTATTTAGATTAAATAGAGTATGTTGGGCATGAAAGATGATAACTTTCCTATTCTTCCCTGATCATTGCTCACACTCACATCATAAACTAAATCTGATGATTAATATGAAGTATACTCATTTTTATTAAAATTGAACTTACAAGGTTCAAAAGAAATGAGAAAAGGAACACATCTTTCCTGATACCCCAAGATCATGGGTGTCCACAGGAATTTTCTCCGGAAAGGGGGTGGGGGTGTCAACAAACTTCAGACATTCTTTTTCATAATTTACATATTTTTCATACAGTTGAAAGCTGAAGAGCATATGCCTATTAAATTAGAGTTCTTTTTACAAACGTGCAACAGTTGTTTAGCATACATTTTTAAGCTTATAATACAAAATATACAACTAATGGACTCACAAATTTCTAGATATTCTTTAATTTCAATCTTTGAAAAGGAATTGAAGTCAGCGTTTATCCTTTTCAAATATGTCAATTTCTTTTAGCATAAACTCTGCTTTATTTCTGTGTTGTTGGTCAGTCGGGAGTCGACCATGACCACTTAAATCATCAGAGTTTGTGCTGATTCTGTCTGTGGGTGCGCAGATGGCTAATGAGGCCGATTCTGGCACGAAATTCTCCTGTGCAGTAGGTACAGGGGAATGATGGCGCATCCCGGAGAGCAGAGTCAGACCGGGCCTTTCTGGAAAATCTCTTGCGCTCTGCAGCTGCTGTTTTGCCAACTTCATGTTGCATGGAGCTCCTGTGCAAAGTGGAATCCCATGAAGTTCAATCCTTTGCTTGTTCCTCCCACGTGTCTGGGTTTATGTTGAACGCTTTCAGTGAGGCTTTTATGTTTTTAAAGCATTTTTTCTGTCCGCCAGCAGACCGCCTTCTTTGTTCAAGCTCGCCATAGAAAATTATTTTGGGAAGACGGTCATCTGACATTATTACAACACGCCCCGCAGACCTCAAGATTGTGAAGATGCTGGGGAGACCTGCCCGTGTGAGCACCTCAGTGTCTGGGACCCTGTCCTGCCACTTAATATTGAGGATTTTTCTGAGTCTTGTTGTATGAAAGTGGTTCAGCATTCTTGCATGGCGTTGGTAGACCGTCCACACTTCACAGGCATAGAGAAGCATAGGGAGAACAGCCGCCTGATATACCTTCAGTTTAGTTTCAGTGTTGATACCTCTCCTGGTCCATATGTTCTTAGTCAATCTTCCATAGGTTGCACTGGCCCTTGCAATACGGAGGTTAACCTCATCATCGATGGTTGTGCTTTGGGACAGTGTGCTGCCGAGATAGGAAAAGCCTTTCGCCACCTTAAGTCTTTCTCCATATACTTGGATGTAGGGCTCAACATAAGGGCTTCGAGGAGCTGGTTGGTATATGACCTCAGTTTTTTTTTGTGTTAATGGTGAGCCCGAAGTTTGTACAGGCATTAGAAAAGCTTGTGACGCAGCGTTGCATATTCACTTCTGATACAGCATTTAGGGCACAGTTGTCTGCATACAGGAGGTCCCTGAGGGTGTCTGTTAGGGCCTTCGTTTTGGCAGGTAGCCTCTTGGGGTTGAATAGATTACCGTCAGTATATGAGGCCAATTCCAGTGTCTCCCTCTCTGAATGCATCGGTCAGGATTGGGGAAAACATGAGGTTGATAAATGTGCGCACTCTACAGGACAGATCTCGGAGATGCACAGCCCTCATAGGAAATGAACTGGCAAGGTATGGGGTGGACATCGCAGCACTTAGCGAGACCCGGCTTGCAGGAGAGGGCAAACTTTGTGAAAGGGGCTCTGGATATACCTTCTTCTGGAGTGGCAGAGGAAGCGAGGAGCATCGCGAGGCTGGTGTTGGTTTTGCTATCAAAACTACAATGTTAAACTTGCTTGCTGGTCTTCCTAAAGGACTCAACGACAGAATAATGACCATGAAACTCCTTCTCGTAAATGGAAGAACACATCTCACCATTATAAGCTGCAATGCTTCAACGATGACAAACCCAGATGAAGTAAAAACCAAGTTCTACGAGGATCTTCACTCTGTCATAGCGGGCGTTCCAAAGCAGAAAAAGCTTATAATTCTAGGTGACTTCAATGCTCGAGTTGGTAGCAACCACATCACTTGGCATGGGACTCTGGGAACGTACGGAGTGGGCCAGTGCAATTGTAACAGTCTTCTCTTGCTCAAAACATGCGCAGAGCATGAACTGCTGATTACTAACACAATATTTTGCCTACCAATGCCTAATCAGACTTTCTGGATGCATCCTCATTCAAAACATTGGCATCTCATAGACTATTTCATCATCAGGAAGAAGGACAGTCGGGACGTTTGAGTAACCAAATCCATGTGTGGTGCAGAATGCTGGACTGATCATCGTCTTATTATCACGAAGCTCAACTTACACATACAACCCAAAAGACGCCCTCAGGGGAAGAAGACCCCTAAACGTCTAAATACCACAAAGTTGAAAAGCCCCAACCTTAAGAAATCCTTTGTGGACGCTCTGCTAAAACGTATGGAGTCCACACTATTGGAAAATGACACTGTCAGTAGAGGATCTTTGGAAGATCATGGCCAAATATGGATGCCCAAGAAAGTTTGTGTCAATGATACGACTATTCCATGAAGGTATGCAGGCTAGAGGTCGGGATAATGGAGAGACCTCAAAACCATTCCCTGTAACAAACAGCGTGAAACAAGGATGTGTACTTTTATTTCTATACACACATAAACCATGTACCAGTGACATTACACACTTGAACAATTGAACTCAAATCAAAACCACCAGATTGAGCCAATGCGCAGACTAAGGAACAAAAGTTGCTTTTGGAAAAATCTTGCATTTTTAGCTTGAACCCTGCCTTCCTTTTCTGCCATTATAGAACAGCCATCATAACCTTGTCAAAGAAATTTTGTCATCTCCAGACCACATTCATTGCAGTGATTTATAATAGCATCTACAGTTGCAGATGTCATTAATTGCTTCAGTGGCTAGAATATGTCTGATACATTCTTCACAAATTTTTAATTTTCTATGTTGTCTACAAAACCAACCGCCAATGACTATTGTTCTGTTCCTAATATATCAGCTGTTTCATCAGCTAATATTGAGAATCATACAGATTGTTTACTAATGTAATACTTTGTTTCTCTATTAACTCCTCACATAACTCTATCAGTTGATTGTGGATCCTGTGAAAAGTATAATGAACATTATCAACAGATGTCTCCAAATGTGTCTCCAGGTATTTGTCTTCAGCCTCCACTCTAACCTGACACAGATCATTGACATTGTCACTATTTTTGCCTGTCACTATTTTTGCCACAAAGTGCGATGTTGTGTGTTCGGCAAAAAATGATTGTGGATGATATCGGCAAAAGCTTATTTCGATTTTCAAACATTTTATGAGAAATAGACTTGAATACCTGACTTTGGGTATGTTGGTGTGAATACCTAATGATGCTCAAGGATGCTGTAGTATCCTGCTAAGCACCTTTGTGCCACTTACTTTCCACATGATTATGAGCACCTTGAGGAAAGTCATTGTATTTAGTGAAAGGTGTCGCCATAAAGCACTTTGGTCCCCACTATGACTGGTTTGCAGGAAACAATAGAAAATATACATATTGGACCTTTAAGATGACTGGAATGGGCAAGCCATGGGACGAACATCAATCGCTATAAATTTTATAAGGCAGTCTACTTATTTATCTTACAATTAAAGCAAATAACAAATATGTATAATCAAATACTCGGGTGGCAGAGTGGTCTAAACTGGGCAAATCTCAAGTTGGTGATCTGGAGTTCAATTCCAGCCAAAGCCCAGTCAAGCAAAAACAAGAGAAGGAAACTCTGAAATCAAACCTGGAGATGGAGTCCCGAAAGGTGGATAACATAGGTTCAATGAAACATTCTGACAACTCCTGTGATGCCACTGGTGCCAAGCTGTATCATCCAAATGATGTTCCCTTGGGTTATCCAGCGGCGTGGAGAGAGGCGATTAGCTTTTGGGAACCAGCTTATAATCCTTAAAGAATAATCCCAGGACTTGTGGATTTCATCCTCCGAAGCCCACACCATCGTCACATTGTCAAATAATAAAATAGTCCAATAATGGCCATTTTGTTATAATAAATATAACTAATGTGGACCACTTTCACTTCAATCTCTCACGTGTAAGGGTTCTCAATTTTTGTTTTTTTTATTTTTCAGTATTCTTATATTAAAAAGTCTCATATTAATATAGTCCTGTAGATTGATAGAAACAATTAACCTGCTTATATATTACACCTAATGTAGTTAATGTAGGTAATAAATCTTGAGAAGCTCCACCATAAAGATTTGATAATGTTCATCATAGTCAAGTGTTTAAACCTTTTCTAATATGTTTTCAATATTTTAAACAAAAACTATTGATGTCCTACTAGTGTTAACGCAGCACAATACTTTTTCTTTATCAAAAAAAATATAAATTTTGAACAGATTACATGTTGCAATCTTGTAGCGAAAAATTAGTGCATTTAAAAGTGAAAAGTTACGGATAAGTTTTATATAAATAAATTTTTTTCAATAAATATGTAATAAATGAATTATATATTTGCATCAAAAAATAATTTTTATTTCTATCTATAAAAACTATTTTATATTCTTAGTGAGTTAATGCAAATATAAATATTAGTATTTTAAGGAACCATTATATTTGCAATATAATTTATTTATTATTTTCCGGGGGGGGGGGGGGTGATCATATGACCCTCTTGACCCATGCCCAAGATGAACACCAGTGGAAATAAAAGAAAAAATGCACGCTTAAACTTTATTTTGATTTATTCAAAATTGAAGTACCTGTATGGTATTCATTTCTATCAATTCACAATTCTGGGGAGCCGGGACCCTTCCTCCAAACCCCTACCATGACTTTCAAATCAAAAATAGAATGTGAGAAAACAAAAACTTGCATCAAATAAACACAAAGATAAAAAGCAAAATCTTTTAAATACATACGAAAGATGACTTGGGGTAACCTCCATGAACTAAATACCATGGAACACATCGCTGGCCTTATGACTAACCAAAAATCAACCTTTCAAGGTTTACAAAAACAACAATTTCTTCTTTCTAGCTTTTACAGGAGTTGAGTGTCTTTTTAAAGCCCCTTATGTATCTTTGTATTTAACTTGTGACCAACTTTCCACCTTTCCGCCTCATTTTTATTTTAAAAGATAATGGTACTAAATTTTCAGGAGGCATTCTCAATGCTACATACAGCACAATGAACAACAAAACTTTTACTTGCATCGATACCTTTTTATTTTGGATAATTTTATTTGAGGGTTGTTAAGATCTTCCTTCAGTTTGACATCCCGACTTCAAACCGTACTATTGTGGTTAATTTTCTTGGTGCCGTTGTCCTTCTGTCATCATGCACATGTGAGCAATGCTTGATCGATACGTAAGACAATAACCAATGTTCAAATGAGATAAAGAAATCCTTTAATATTTGCAATCATTGGTAAATCACAAAACTTTCTTCATTATAAATTCCTTACGACACTACCAACTGTCCTCAGACTAATTTCCTCTCTACTGTTTAACTACTTCAAATCTCTCCCTATAATGATCGCTCAGCATACCCTAAGCTCAACACCATGACAGCTTAACCCCATGAGCCGACCTTGCACATCTAGATCTCACAAAACCCTTTCACGTTCCTAAATCTAGTTCATCACAAGGGTAATTTTTTTTAAATCCTGAAAAGAAAAATAGGTAAAATTATTAATTAATAAAGGCATTCACAAAGAAATAACAACTTTATTGTACTTTAATTAAATGTATACTATTATACTGTTTTGGGTTTTCTGGTATGAAGAACACATAATAATAATTAATAGGACTAGTACCAATATTAATATGAATTAATATTTAGTAAATAAAAATTAACTTAGGCTTCCTATTTTCTAGTATTTTTACAATTTTAGTATTTTTATACTTAAACTTATGGTAGTACTTGTAATACAAACATCCCATCAGTGCCATGGATTAAATTTGAGAATGATAATTTGTTGAGACTAAAAGTTTGGTGTGGTTTTAATTCCAAAGTTACCCAATTTTCAAATTTCAAATAAATTCCTCCCAAAACTACTGTACTGAAGATTATTGACATAATAATAATATTGATCAGCATTCAATGCTCTTCAATTTATTTAAAATACAAGACTTTCAATAAAGAAATGCACATGAAAGACCTATTTTCCAATGCATATGATATGTTTACAACTTCAGAGGATAAAAAGTTGAACAAAGGGCACCTCACTCTTCAGTGCTTGTCATTAGGAGAAAAATGATTGAACCATTGTATTGCCTGTAAAGAGGCCATGAATTGTTGAATGATTTACATCCTGTGCCAATAAAACTAAATAGTTCCAGTAGACGGCAATGTAATTTTATGAACTTAGTTTGTCATTTGGCCTTGGAATATTAAAATACCAGTACCTTTGTTGCTCTTTGCAATGCAGATTGGTGCCTTTATCTATTTTTCATGCCTTTACTGAGGCAAATATGGAGCTTAAAATCTCAGGGTAGCATATCCTCTCTGGGAAAATCTTCCAATCACCTGATACAGAAACAGACTCTTAAGATAAGAACTGATTTGCATATTAATTTATATATAAATTAATTTATGTGTACATATGTTGTGTTTCAGTCTTTTGAATAGTGAAGGATCATTACTTGCCTTCTCTGGGTTTCCTGATAAGGATGCATCTGCTGCGGGAGCTATAGCAAGCAACATTTGGACTTCATTTCAAAAGAGTGGACAGTATTCATTAGATGATGGGAAACTAAACTGTGTCCTTGTGGAATGCAAGGTATTTAACGAGTGTATTTACTAATAAACGGTGACAAATATCCCTCCTTGTTGACTTTGGGGAAATGCCAGCCTTAACCTCCCCCGCTCTGACCATGATAAAAAAGATAATATAAAATCGATCTGCGCTCTGCCTTGCAATCCCTAAAGTTCTGCACTGTGAAAAATAATCTTGAATAGTTTTAAGTTACATCCCCATCAACTCTTAGCAAAAATGATGAGGAAATGAAGGGTATAAGTTTAAATAATTTGTAACCATGTTTTGGGCTTTTAGCCAAAAGCACATTCGTCTATGATTATAATTTGGGGTCATACAGCAATAAAGCTGCCAGTAATGTAATGAAATGCACAAGGCAGTTGAAAACTTGAAAAAGAGACAAGAGACTTTGTACAAAAAAAAATTGATGTACTTTTAGTCTTTTCAGAGTAAAGGACCAATTTTAAGAGCTTAAAGGGTAAATTTGAAAGGATTTGTAATGTAAGAAAATATAGAAAGCAAACCATGTTTCATTAGATGTTTCTAATCAATCACCACCACAAAAACTGTAGTCCCTTTTATATAAATATATATTTTGATCAAATATAAATTTCTGACTACTGCATCCATTTTTGTTATTTTCTTGTTACAGCTAGGTAAAATAGCAATCACAAAAGTTGCAAATCTATTGCTGTGCTTATGTGCTAAAGAAACTGTGTCCTATGGCATGCTTAAAACAAAGGTGAGGAAGGAATAGGTATAAAACAAAAATAAGGAGGGAATAATTGGAAAACAAATAAGTGAAATTGGGGACATCCAACTATTAGCTGCGATAATTTTCAACGGTAATAGAAAATCAGCACATTTTTAATGTTACTCAAGTAGTATAAAACAAAGTTATATACAGATCTAGAAGGTATCAAATGATTTAGTACAAACCTCATGAAGGGATTTATTTTTTTTTAAAGTCCTACTGGAACATTCTTTTTGTAGCATTAACAATATTTATAACATGGAAGGAATCTCCAAATGTAAAATGAACTTAGTTACCTGATATCTAATCACAGTTCTTAGATGGTATTAACTGAAATATTTCCACTACTCCTTTTTACAGATAGAGGCCATGGCAGCCTACCTGGAAGAACCTTTATCACAAGTAGCATCTTCTTGATCTTTAAAATACGTTCTAACATTTCAGTTTATGAGAGATTTTTCTGATGAGTGTTGTTTGAATGTCCTTAGAAGAGTCTTATTAGACTTTTTTGTGGGGTCCCCTGATAAAGATTTTATACTAAAAAATTTGAATGTTTGTAAATTATAAAATTAAAACCTCTACAATTTTTTTTAACCTAAATTGTACATCCTCAATAATTTATTGATCGTACTGTGAATAATTTCTGTCAGAAATCACTTCCATACATCTTTATTCTCATATCAGTTTATGGAGCGCTAGTTCCTTAGCGTATCCTATGTCCTAATTTAAAATAATGTGAACAAGAAAAAATACATGAGCAAACAGTTGAAATAAAAGGCACCATTTTTTTACTATCTCTCTTAATTTGGCAAGTTGAATGAACTACTCAATGCTGCTCTGGCTTGTAAATATTGTAATGCTTGCTTTTCAAATATTTTAAGGTTTGCAACTTCATGATGAAGGGAAAATGTCTACAAATTCTTTAAATCTCTCAAACTCTGGGGGCAAAAAATATGTATATTATTATTCCAATAAAAACCAAATAAATTATCAAAAGTGTTAACAAGTCAATGCATTTAATTTAAGGGTATTTTTAATTTATATATGTATGAGGCATTATAAATAAAAAGAAAATATTTTTAAAGACCCATTTGACAGCGAGACTTAAAAAAAAAAAAAAAAAAAAAAAAATAAATTATAAAAAATTTTAAAAAGTTAATGAATTTAATTTAAGGGTATTTTTAATTTATATATGTATGAGGAATTATAAATAAAAAAAAAATATTTTTAAAGACCCATTTGACAGCGAGACTTTAAAAAAAAAAAAAAAGCAACTTAACTGATAACAGTGGAAAGAAATTTTTTTTAAGGACATGACAGCTACTTTATCAAATGCTAGGGTATGCAAACATGTGCAAATTATGAATTTTGATGAACAAAATGAAAATATATATGTTGAATGTGTATTTATCTGGGTATAACATATATATGTATTATTAATATTATTATCTACTCTTTGAAACTGTTTTTAATTAAAATGAACTATTATGATATTCATTTGGTGTTTTTTTTTTTGTTTCTTCGTAATATTTATTCGTTATCAATTTTCTTTCACAACTTAATCATGGACACATTTGCCAACAAATTCTATTTTTAAAAAATGCTTTTCATACATCACAATAACTTCTGTAACTTACAGGAAACAATTTCTTTAGGTACAGAACTAGTTTGTAAATTGAAAACTGTACCTTTTCCTAAATTTCCTTTTTAAAATTTTATATTTGTTAGTTTGAAATGTAAAATATTGCTATGAATAAAAAATAATTAAACCAAAAAAATGGATTAAATTTAACGGAACTTCATGGGTAACAAACTAGAAGCTTAAACAATCATAACTAAATTTTAAAATGTCTTAATTTGAATATCAAACTTTTGGTCTTTTTAATGTAGTTTGCATATTTCAGGAAAGTCTTTTTACTGGTCATTTCAGAGACCAGTTCACCTGCAATTTTTACATCTGTTATCTAACGCAGCCACTCAAATCAGCCATTGACCAATTGTATTATTTTGACATAGTTGTCAGATATATTTTGTTGATTTAAACTCTATTATCCTCATTGTAGAAAATCTGTAATATATGTAACAGAAACTTTTAAATGATTAATGGGACTACTGTGTAAACTTCAAACATATTAATATTTAGTTTATCATGACAAATAGATAAAGAGAAGCACTTAATTTTTTCAGTATAGATATTAACAGAGTTACATGCTACTAGGTCATATATCTAGTGACCTATTACTATGGTAGCATTTTGTTGGTAGTTCAAATGACCTGTTCCTCTGTCATTCTGCTGGAGTTTGACTACTGTTTGAAATTTATTGAGGCTTATTTATTTCCCTGAGGCAGCTTAAAGACTTAATTCCTCTAGCCAGTCTTTTTTTTCTTCTTATTATTATTATTCTTGTCTCCGTGTGATGGGATAGTGTAGTGTTTTTTGTTGTTTTTTTGTGGACATGTCACTTGTCATGAATTCACTCAGGCCAAAGAGAACATGCATCCTTGCAACAATATAACCAAATCCACCAGGAATCCAAGTAGGAACTCCCCTCTACCACCCTAAACTATAGTTAGTTCCCCCACCCTGCACCTCCATTATAATGTTGATAAATTAACATTTCATGTCACAAGATGCACAAACATGCTTTGCTTGTTTAGTTATTTGTCTCTTTTTAAATAAATCTTATACTAATGAATGAGTTTTATGCTCGACTGCTGTTTGGCCTTTGATTATGTTTAGTTCACACCACTCTTTAGTCAGTGATACACTCTTTAGTCAGTGATACTGCTGTGGCAACAACAACAAAAAAGATAGCAACAGTTTAAACACTGCTATATTTATTTTTGCTAAAGTTGAGCGTTAAATTTTTATCGAGTAGTCACTTTTAGGGACATGATTAGGGCCTTTGAATGTTGTTAGTTTATCAGCAACCAAATGTAGTCCAAAGGTTATAGTATAGAATCAAATTATATTGCTTATCGTGCTCTCTGATATTGCTATCTTTGGATTGTATCATACAATTGACTCGGCTGTTATGAGATAACACTTCACAAAGTGTTTTTAATTGCAGCAGCTGGTAAGTCTTCAGAACAAAAATGTATTTTGTCCATTAATTTGTGAACAAATATAAACATTGTGTTGTTTCAAAAGCCAATGAACTCGCCTTTAGTGTTTTACCTAATGGCTCTCGTGTGTTTGAGATTGTTATAATCATTCTGTAACAGGCTGTGATATTAATGTAGAAGTGGAAGTGTCTATTAATAAAGTTGCCTCGCCAGCGGTTAAAAAAGAACGTTATCAGAAGTAATCAAGGATTTCACACATTTCTATAAGATTTTATGCTAAAAGCCCACGTCCGTCATAAGGCTTGTCTTGGGTGAATGCGATCACAAAATGAGAATCCCTTAAAAAAAATGTTGGTTTGTTTTTTTTATCTCTACCAATATTTTCCCCGTGAACTACTTCTTTTGAAGCGTCTCATTTTAGATTTAGTGTTGGGCTCGGATTCTTGCAGCAGCTTTTATTCAAAGATAAATATTGAGGCCATACTGCTCGGAAACGAAATCATTTGACCATTTCATTGTGTAGGCTTATATTTGACCAGCTAATGCTTGGAGTACAAGGAAGGAATATTTACATTAAAATAATTGATCAAATAATTTGATAAATATAAAAAAAAGGGTTAACAGATCATTTAATGAATGTGTCACGTGACATTTGCTCTCCCGACCGGCCTTTGCCTTCGGGTCCCTAAATATTTTTTTTATGACTAGGATAATGAATAATTGAATGCAGGGGTGACCAAAACTATTAAATATTGCGGCCCTCGGGTTGGCTGACATAGTACTGTGTTATTGCAAATATTTTTATTGGTTTTGCTTTCAATTCACAAAGAAATAGATTTTAAAATTCAAAGAGATTAAAAGATATAAACAAATATCACATTAGTTTAGTTTGATTTTTTGTTATTCCTTTCTCGCTCTCCCTCTTTCTCTCTCTCAATCTCTTTCTCACTCTTTCTTTCTCTCTCTCTCTCTCTCTCTCTCTCTCTCTCTCTCTCTCTCTCTCTCTTTCTCTCGCTCTCTCAATATGGGTATGTGTTTGATTCACTGTGGAGTGGTGCAGCCAGGGTTGGTGCCGCCCTTGGTGGGCCAATATTTTCGCCGCCCTCCGCTCACGAAAAACCTCCGCAAATACCGCCCCTCAATTTCAGTATATAGACATAAAGTGTTGCCTTGCCCGGGACGGACTACCCTTCCTACGCCAACGAGTGGAATGTGGAATTATTCGAGTTCTACGGTATCAATGATTCACTCAAGAACGTATCAGCTATTCTGACCACACAATGATTCACCAACAAACGCTTTGCTGCTGACCAATTTTGGGGAAAAGCAAATTCTCAAGGACTTTCCAAAACAATATGTGCAATGCAACCAAAACAAATTGGATTAATACAAGCATCTTATCTTTTCTTATCTGTTGTAAAAGTAGCAATAACGAATTAAATGGTAAATTCTAATGTGAGAACATGAATCATAAATTAAAAGCTTCTCGTAGTAATAACTCTCAAGTAGCGGCACAATATTAAAGGGAAATAAATAGTCAGGTCCAGCATTCGTGTTACATTTTTAAGAATGATTTCCCTCGTCTAGGAATTAGTTTTTATTAGTTAACAAATCGGGAGGGAGTCCACCGGCCCCCAACCTCTGGAGTTTGGGATAGGGCAAAGTCCATTGATAACTTTGTATTACAAACGAATTTTTGTTTCTCCAGAAGTAAGCTTTTGCATTTTGAGGGGTTTTATTCAAATTATTAACGCCTGTAAAATTGACAGTCGGACTCATTAGTTAAGTTAATTCTAATAATTCAGTAGTCATTAGTTAATATTAATAGAGATTATTAGGCCTTAGAATCTTAACGATAATGATACGGTTAGTAAGTTAAACTAAGAATCATCCAACTAATTGTTTGTAAACTCTTTAGTTCTGCTGGATGTAAAAATTGTAGAAACCCGATACTAATAATACAAAAAACGTAGGCCTACCCCAGGCTACTATTGTCATTGAAGTATTGCATGACCATCTCTGACTCTGTCTTGACCTGTTCCCTGGTCACTGGTCTTACTAGTCTTAGAGTAGGTACATAAAGTGTTATGAATCAATATTCAATAACCCATTGTTTATTAAAGGAATTTGCAAATAATAAATTAGGGACAGATTAATTATGAAGTGATATTCATTTAAAACTTTATTGACTTAATAAAAAATTTATAAAATACATGAATAGTACAAATATAGACTTAGACTAGTACATGGTTTGAGTTAACTAGACTAATGTCTTATATTCCCATCCTACTTCTGCAGATAGTTGAGAAAGGCCCACAACAATGGATGTTATAAAGAATTGGAAAAGTATGAGCACCATTCAGTTTTGTAGTATGCAACTATTTGAACTAGTATATCTACTGACATTAGCATTTCTTCCATTTGTTGTGGCCATCCGGGAGATCACATATGTTATTTTCGCTGTCCTAGTTTTCATTGTTGGGATCGCTGTCTTCAAACGATGCCGAGCACATACTTTGAATCCCCTTGAAAAAGTGGTTTTAATAACTGGCTGTGATACAGGTGTGAATCATTTTGTTACTGTTTTACTATTTCAAATGCAATTATTTAAAGATCTGTTAATTTTAAAATATTGATACAACTCCTACACAGATTATAAAAATTCAAATGATTCAAAACTTTTTCATTCTTCTATTTTTTATCACATTGGATACTAAAATAATAATGCATTTCAATCTTCTTTTTTTATCACTGTATTATAGGTTTAGGAAATGCATGTGCAAGAAGACTGGAATCCAAAGGCTTTACTGTGGTGGCTGCTTGCTATGATGATCAAAGTGAGGGGGCCAGCAAACTTAGAGAGATAACAAGTGGTCGTCTACACGTTCTGAAGCTGGATATTACAGATGTAAACAGCATAAAAAACTGTTTCATCAAAGTTAAGAGTTTATGTGACAAAAGAGGTTAGAAACTTAATACAGCCTATTATTACTATTAAATTTGTTACAGACTGATGCCCACATTGTCTTGTGATGCAAATGCCTTTTTCAAGTTCAAGTATAATTCTATTACAACTTCAATATTCAAAGACATGACCCTGATACATGGACAAAATTTTAACTAATATTTTACTCAGAAATATTCTTGCTTTTCAAAAAGATTAATAACCATATAAATAGGGCCTACATCAAGTTTGGACTAAGTGACTGTGGAGTAGATTGTTTGGTAGCAGATATTGATAAGATTAGTTTTAAACATTTCAATAATTCAAGATGCAAGTCTTGCTGAAATAGTTAAAAGCCTCATTGAAGAGTACCGGTAAAAAAATCTTAAACTCCAAATCTTGACTCATTCACATGAACTTACTCAGGACTTGAGGACAAATTTCTAAAAAAAAAAAAAAAAAATTAAAAATTAATTAAAAAAGGTAAAAAAAAGTGTGATTTATCGAGCTGCATCTTCATTTTGATGACATTTTGAGAGCCATATATTTAACCATTCTGGAGTTTGCTATCATGACTGCACACTATCAATTCATAGAGTTTTTGTTAAAAGAGTTGGACAGCTTTGTATGTATTTAATACTGTAATGGAGATTCAGAATTTATATTAACTTTTAATTAAATTATCTTGGTTGGGTAGTTTCTTTTTTTTATTGGTATTAATGGAAAAGTTTGGAGAATCGGGGGTTCTGGTGTATGGGTATATTTGTACAATCTATTTCTTTAACATTTTTTTAAATGATAATTTTCTTTAATGGTATTTTTCCGCCACAATGTGACCATGGTGTAGACTTATCAGGATGAAATCACAAGGCCTGAAATTTTTTCTTTAGGACTAGCAAATTGTCTCACTCCACGCTTGAGTTGGAATTTTTCATTGTACCGGGTATTAATGTATCCACCTACGAGACTTCTTCTCCGGGTTTTGTTGCCATCCAACAAAACTTGTCCCATTGACCCAAGTGCTGGTGACTTGGTCTTTGGTGGGCATTGAATTCCAGGCCGAAAGCTTAGAATTAACTCAATATACACCACTCGACCACCTAGCACCCGGAAATGATATTATGATGGAATAATATTAGACTAATTTGTTTTTTGTTTTTATTTCAGGATTATGGGCCCTTATTAATAATGCTGGCACAGCTAGTTTTGGAGATATAGAATTTTCAACTATTGAATCTTTCCGCAAAGTGTTGGATGTTAATCTGTTTGGCACAGTACAAATAACACAAGCATTTTTACCGCTAATAAGAGCAGCCAAAGGTATAAAAAGGAAAGATTTTCTTATATTTAACAATTTTATAACTCTTTTGAAGAAATTGACAGTCTCCTAAGATCTACATTCTTAAGTATGTTTTTTTTCCCTCCATCAAATTAAACCTCTGAGTCTTTCATTGGATCTAATATCTTCTTGTGTACTGTTACACTCATGTGTGTCTTACATGGAATTTTAGATAGCTAACTATTGTATACCCCTTGTGATATATTGTGACCCCTATGCCATCTGTGTCTGCAAAGAGACTTGTTCATACATTAGCATATGGGTCTGCAACCTTTTTTTAGTGAAAAGCCAATTTATAAATAATATCTGCTAAGAAAATATTTAGGGAGCTGCAGGCATGGGCAGATTGGGAGAGAAAATATGTTATTATGACACTATCAATAACATTTTCTGCTACTTTAAATTTGGGAAAATAAATTGTATGTAAATTATTGATCCGTTATTTTTAAAAAAATTGTAATTAAATTTCGTATCATATTAAAATATGCATATATTCATTCAAAGAGCTGTATGTGGCTTCAGAGCCACAGGTCACCCTCTGCTGCCTTATCACTACAGAACTTTTGTACTTTTAAATAGTTATGTAATCTTTGTTTTATTTCAAATTAGTTTTTATGGTGAAAATTTATTTGCAGAGGGAAAACCCTAACCTGTTTTTGCTATTTCATGTTAACTGCATTTTATTAATGTTTGTCTTAGGTCGAGTTCTAACTTTAACTGGTTCATCAGGTTTACTTGCTCTACCTGGCCAATCAGCTTTGTGCATGTCTAAATTTGGCTTGGAGGCTTTCAATGATTCCCTAAGGCAGGAAATGATTCCATTTGGGGTCAATGTGATCACAATCAGGCCAGGAAATTTTGCTGGATCAACTGGACTATTAAACAAATCTGGGGTAAAAATTAATCCCATTTTGCCTCAAGTCTTTCAGTAATGTTTTAAGATAATCATGGTCCCAACAGCTCTTTAGAACTGTTTGAGATAACATAATTTTAAAAAAGAGAAATTTGCTCGATTGTTAGACTGATGGAGTGGCATCAAATAAATTATTCTCTTCTGTTTATAATACCCCAGATCTTGGGTGTTTTTTTTACAGTCTTCTTACTCACATCATTTATGGCTAAAGAGTATTCATGCTCTCAAAAGATTTTCATGGCACTCAGATCATTCATGGAACTTCAGTCACTCTCCCATCCTTCTTGTTCTTTCACATCATTCATGGGCTCAAACTTCCATCTCCCTTATCAACACAAACATCTAGTTCACTGTGGTTTTGTCATTTAAATATGTCCATATTCCTTAATTAAGGCAGGCTTCTCTGTGGCTCTAATCAGTGGGTTTAAAAATAATAATAATAATGTTAATGATAGATTTGCTTTTTTTGTCTCCAGCTAGATAAAGTAAAACTTTCTTTTGAAGAAATGAAAAACAAAGCAAATAATGAAATAAAAGAAATATATGGCAATAACTATATGGACAGTCATTATAAACAGGTAAATATTAGGATAGAAAATTGGCTAAATATGTCATTTTATGGTGTTAAGAAATACTACTGTATTTGATTAGTGCATAATAATTTGCTATAGTTTAATAATAATTTATTCTTGAACTACTTTGCTACGGAGGTATCAAGATTAATCATTTTATCACTAATGTTTGCAGAACATTTTAAATGTTATTGGCAATAGGAATGGATATCATTAGAAAGAAGAAAAAAAAATGTTTGTGTTTCAAATGTAAAAGAACAAGTCGATTAAAAATGTTGGGGCAAAGGAGTTTTGCCTTGATTGTTTTATATTTTGGTATGTGAGGTCTAGCACCCAGACTAGTGTTTTAGTGTCAACAAGTCTTATATTTTAAAATCATATTTTGCTGTTGTACAGTCATTTAGTTATATAACATATATATTTTGGAAGTTTATTTCTGATAAAACTGTCTTCTTCTTTTGTTATCTTTAGCTCTGTGAACTTGCCAAGTCTACAGCCAAAAGTTTGAGTAATGTTGTAACAGCTGTAGAACATGCAGTAGGTAGCCAATCACCCCGATCTAGATATTTGGTTGATGGAGGAAATCAATTGCTAGACTTGGGAAATGTAAGTCAATGTCTGCAAATGTATGTAAATATTGTATATTGATGTGATTGCTAATTAGAAAGTTTACCTTAAGCACCTAGCTAAGTTGAAGATTTTAATTTATTTTGAGCATTTTAAAATTAAAACTTAAGTTCTCTTTGTTGTTATTACTAAAATTGTAAAGGCGTTTTTGTTGTGTTCATAAGATTAGAGTTTTTGTTTTTTTTTACTTTCATGCTTACAGGAAAGTAATTGACGATAAAAAATTGGGACTAATGTCTTTAATTATTAAATTCAAAGCTTATACTTCATCCTTTCATATAAAATTGTGTTGTTTTTACAAAATTCAAAATAAGAAATGAACAGTTCATCCTTTGTCCATTTTAAAAAATATGTTGTTTGTTTTGCAGACACTGATTCGACTTAGTCCATGTCTACCCTACGCTCTGCATGATCTATTAGTCCGCAAGTTTTATGGATACAAATAATTGACACAGAAATTTTTAAAAATAAAATAATTAAATTTTTTTTCAAAGATATATTTATATAATTGTGTTGATGAGGAGTTTTTTTTAAATACCAGTTAATACTAGCATATTATGTGTCATAAAAAAACAACAGATTAATTGGGCTCTAGGATGGTATGTTGATTTCATCATCACCCATTTTGAATTCAAATCTAGATGCCACATGGTCATCACAAACAACTTTTTTTTAACATTGAATAACATCCTGAATTCCTCCATGATGTCACATCAGGCAGGGCATAAATATCCTTTGCTACTTAACTTTCCCAACATCATTAGGCTAATCAAATACCAGTACCTGAAATTTATTTTTGAGCATTTTACTATGCACGTTTACAATAAGGCAATACCAGTCATTGCTAAAAGGAATCTTTTGGCAGTTGAGATAATTTTGTTTAAAATGATTATAAATTTTTTTTTTATTTATATTAAATTTATATGATTTTTTTAATATTGTTTTTATGCTCAATCTGGGTATAAATATTTTTATTCACAAACTGAAATACCGGTACAAATTTTTTCGGCATAATAACAGTAGTGAATAAAAATAAAAAGAACAACCCTGAACATTACTGTTATTTGTCACATTTAGTTTATATTTAGTTTATATTTAGTTTATATTTAGTTCATATTTAGTTTAGTTGTGTTATTATTAATTTATTATGTATTTTGCTGTGAGGCTAGTGAACTTCTTTATTTTGTTTTACTGCTTTTGTAAATTATGTAATATTATTAATACCGTATTAATTGAAATTCCTTGCACATTGCTATTTCTTAAAATCCACAGAAAACAATTGTGGGTTCATGAATGACGCTCTTTTAAAGAGTTGATGGAAATATAGTGCAAAATGTATTGATTGTTTTATATTGATAAGAATTTGTAATTTAAAAATATAATAAATCATGTCCTGAGTTTGAATGAATTAAATATATATATTGTTTTATTTGCCCCATGTCTTTTTTCTGCCTGCAATAAATGTTTGTTACCTGTGATTTGTCATCCAGACTCAAACACATTCCCTTCTCTAAGGACAGTCTTCATCTGTGGGACGGTTCCTTTTTTCTCGCTGCAATGTTGTCTGCGTCATTGTTTGCACCCGCTGCCAGATGTTGTATTTAGGTGAGACGGGATGCCGAATCTCTGACAGATGTACTGAACACCTACATAATATTACGCAAGATAAGCAGTGTCACATCTCTAAACACTTCAATAGAAGGGACCACAAGGGGTCTGGGGATTTTACTTATAAGTGTGATCGTGACCTGCACTAACACACCAAGATGGGTGAATTTGGATAACAAGCTGATCCAGAACCTTGATACCACATGGCATGAATGTCATGTTCTCATTCACCTGTTAAACCTTTTCTCTGCCCTTCTTCGTCACACCCAATCGCAGTGGACTTTCTTTTCCTCTCTTCTTTCTGTTTTTGACTGTATTAAATCTCTCATCTATTTTCTGTCACATTTCTCTTTCTGCCCTCTCGAATACTCCATTTCAGCTAAGTGTTATTTTTTTTATTTAATTCTGTTTTTACTGTTGTTTGTTCGCTGATGAAGGCTTCCTGCCGACAAATTCGTTGTGTTGGTGCGTTCTTTTCTTCCGGTTTTCCCATACTTTGTTTTGCCCATTTCCTTTTTTTTTTTTCTTCTTTTTGTAAAAAAATTTGTAGGAGGTAGGGGAGCCAAAGTGTAAAAATGCCTGGGCGTCACAATTACTTAGGCCAGCACTGGTGGCGGCAATCCATGAACTTCCCATCTACATTCTTAGTCTACATGTACTTAACCGTTTGACGTTTTTTCCGAAACTTGAACGGTTCGGGGCATTCCCAGAATGGGAACAGTCCAGAATGGGAACAGTTTTTTTTTATATAAAATGGATTGGCTTTCATAAAATGTATTTTTGCAAGCTGTAAAAGGAAGGAGACAGCTAAAAATAAAAATTAAAAAATCTGTTATTAATTCTAAAATCAACGTTTTTAAACATCCATTTGACTTTTCACTTCGCGAACCTATATCAGATAATTATAAAGATCAACATCAGCACTTTCTAAATCAGTTGCTTCCAGTCCTACAAATAAGTTGGCGAAAAACCTATCACAGTTGACACGACCCGATAAAAAAAAAAATTCTCTGCGCAGAGAAATTTTCAGCGGCTTGTTTAGAATTCCTTAACAAAATTTACATTGGCAAAGAATGGACTCATCATATGTAATGCTTTTTATATACGGTTGCCATCCATCCCGATATATCGGGACCATCACCGTTATAGACCATGTAATTATATTAAGTAATTATATTACATAATTATTTTTTTTTACTTCATTTCTACACCCCCATCTCAGAGTGTCCCGACGAGGTCCCAGCTAAATATGGTAACCCTAACTTTATAATTTACAGGAATCCCGTTTAGTGTTAAACTTCGTAATTCTATTTTACACGCCCATCGTTACAGCCATACTACATACATACACATAAAATTATTATTTGTGATTCAGTATTAGCATATAGGCCTGTCAAAATCTGTCTGAAAACAGAATTTGTACCCTCTTCAACCCAATAGAATCAAGAAGATTCAGCTTCTTGTTGTAATTCTCCAATGGAAAATTCCAAAGAATCTTCCTAATCCTGTTCCATTGTGTTGTTAATGAGCTTCCATCTTAACTTCAAATTGAAGTAGTCGATCTGCAATCCAAAGACATGTTGAAATAGAGAAATGCTCCTTAATGACGTGAAACAAGCCATTGTGTCGGAAAAGAACCAGTTTCATTGCTCCTTAATGACGTGAAACATGTCATTGAGTCGGAAAAGAACCAGTTTCATTGCTCCTTAATGACGTGAAACATGTCATTGTATCAGAAAAGAACCAGTTTCTATGCTCCTTACTAGCGTGAAACATGTCATTGTATGAGAAAAGAACCAGTTTCATTGCTCCTTACTGGCGTGAAACATGTAATTGTATCAGAAAAGAACCAGTTTCATTGCTCCTTACTAGCGTGAAACATGTCATTGTATGAGAAAAGAACCAGTTTCATTGCTCCTTACTGACGTGAAACATGTCATTGTGTCGGAAAAGAACCAGTTTCATTGCTCCTCGCTGACGTGAAACATGTCATTGTACTGGTAAAGAATCAGTTTCATTGCTCCTTACTGACGTGAAACATGTCATTGTATCAGAAAAGAACCAGTTTCATTGCTCCTTCCTGACGTGAAACATGTCCTTGTGTCGGTAAAGAATCAGTTTCATTGCTCCTCGCTGACGTGAAACAAATAATTATACAATTATTCAAATGTTTACTCATCTAATAAAATGTATTTGCAGTCTCATTTAAAATAATGTAACCTGACTATGTCATAAAACTAGAGACCGACCGAAATTGATTTTCTGATTTCGGCCGAAGCCGAAAAAAGGCCGAAAGTTTAAAATGACTTTCGGCCGAAACCGAAAAAAGGCCGAAAGTTTAAAAATGACTTTCGGCCGAAACCGAAAAAAGACCGAAAGTTAAAAATGAATTTCGGCCGAAACCGAAGCTGCAACCAAAAATGAAATGTTAAGATATTTTGAAATTCGTTCCCGCATACATTCTGCATACATTGAAAATGATGTGGGAAAGTATAAATATTTACATTCTTTTTATAAAAAATGAGATAATCGTGAATATTAATAAATAAACATCTAATTTAGGGTTCTCAAACTCGCGGCCAGCGAGCCATTTGTGACCCGCAAGACGATATTTTGCGGGCCGCTCCATGACAGAAACGTTTAGTGTAAATGCGCCGGCCCGTTTCCCCCATTCTCATATCTATAACGTGACTCTCCGCGACGGTTTCAGTCGAATCTCACCGACTAATCTAATTCTGATTTTTTTTTTAATGTCTCTATATATTTTTGTATGCCAGCTCTTTGGCAACAGTGAGTAGGTCGATGAAAGTGAATCCTAGTTCTTGAGAACCCTTAATGATTTTTTTTTTGTTATTTATAAAGGTTGAGCAGATTGTAACAGTTGTAATCGCTTTTTTGTGGATTACTTGATGCGGCCCACTCTCATTCAGACACTACCTCCTGCGCCCCGCGGCCCCCCCCCCTTCCCCATGATTTGAGTTTGAAACCCTTGATCTAATGAATACTTTGGATTTTACCATTTTAATATAAAAGTAATATTTAAATTGCTTTACAATTTTTTTCAAATTTGTATGTAGGGGAAAATTTGGCAGAAATTGGGGGGTGGGGAGGGGGGAGGAGGGGGAATTAATGCAAAATATCATTTTTTGAAACCGGATCTCTAAAAAATGTGGCTCTGAAAGATCACTTAATTTGTTCTTAAAGATCCTTAGTTTGTTGTTAAAGACCGTTTAATTGGTTGTTATTGATCGGTTAGTTTGTTGTTACAGATCGGTGAGTTTGTTCATAAAGATCGCTTAGATTGTTCTAAAAGATCGCTTAGTTTGTTGTTAAAGATCGTTTTGTTTGTTGTTAAAGTCTAAGTCAATTTCGGCCGAAACCGAAGAAAAACCGAAAGTTAACTTTACTCTTTCAGCCGAAACCGAAATTAAGCCGAAAGTTAACTTTCCAGTTTCGGCCGAAACCGAAACTTGGCCGAAAGTGATAAAATGGCTACTTTCGGCGCCGAAACAGAAGCCGAAGCCGAAATTCGGTCGGCCTCTACATAAAAACACCAATTTATTGCTTCATGTAGCGTTTCGACAAGGAAAAATCTGTGTCTCACATGTTTTTAATATTATGGGTTTAAAAATACAACAGCACTCATAACACTTATGAGTTTCTTTGGTCATACATGTTGGCCATCTTTATTTAAGGAAAATCCATCTGCTCCCCCCCCCCCCTCAAGAGCACGGCGATATTTTCTTACTAGGTTGGTCAACCCGTGGTCTATTTCAACCTACTTTCTACGCGATGTCTTGTTTCAAATGATTTAGACTGTAAATAGGCTACTAGACTTGGGGTAACTTCATGAAATGGGACACGATAAATAACCTTATGTTAGTCAAAGACGAAGGCCTTGGATTATTTAATTTATTGTCAAAACCATAACAGAAGTCTCTACGTTAATAGACCTTAGCATTAAAAAAATTTTTGCAATCCTTAAATTTATATTTAACATTTAATCTAATTTTAGTTTATAAAAAAAACAACTTTTTAAGCAATACACATTTTTATGTTTAAGAGGGATTTGGAGCCGGCTTTTTTGGCAGAGCTCAGCCCCGGACACATTTTTCTTCCAGTTCCACTCCAAACTTCGTCAAAATTTAAAAGGGAGGTGGGGCCATGCGTCCGGGATTCCTCGAACATGTCCTTTTTTTTTTTTTTTAGGCCCCTGTCTGGGCGGCTTTCCAGAAATAAGTCTTTTTTTCTTTTCTCCTGTCCGCCCCCTATTGATACCATCTTACTTACTTTTCCGTGTTACATACTACTCTGTACATATTCTTCATCCACATTGTCATCATTTTTTGGTCCATATCTTTTCCGGAGAACTTTTCTCTCTCATGTGCTTAATAGGTTTTCTGCCAGTTTTTTTTTTTTTTTTTTTTTTTTTGTGTGTGTTTATTTTTGTTTGTTTGTTGCTAGGGTCCAAGTTTCACTTCCGCATGTTACAACTGGTCTGAATACAGTTTTATTTATAGTTTTCTTTGTTTTTCTTGTAATGTTTTTACTTTTGAGTATTTTTTTTTTTTCACTACTGAAGTATGCCCTGTTTCCGGTCGATATTCTTTCTTTTATTTCTGTTAGCAATTCGTCTCTTTCATTTAATAAAGATCCTAGGTATTTTGAATTGATTTACTTTGTCAAAATGTGGTTTCTTATTTTAATGGCTTCATCTGTCTGTTCTTCTCTTAACATAGTCACGTATTTTTTTGTTTTGTTTGTTTGTTAACTTCCAGCCCTGCTTTGTAGTGATGTGTCCTCTAATTCAATGTAGGCTTGCGT